CAATTATTGGAGCAAATAGCTAAGAGCACCTCACTAAGAATGGAGAGAGACTTGAAAAGAGATGAAATGGACGTGGCACGAGAGGAAGCATTTGTTATTCAACAGCAAAAGGCACACGAAAAAGACATAGAGGATAGAGAGATGAAAATCATGGCAATGGATACGACCCATATATCTCCCAAAACAAAGGCCTATTGGAAGCTACGACGAAGAGATGTGATGAGAAGAAAACTTTTCCATGACGACGGACCTAGCAATACGGATTAGTTAAATGATGAAAACCATTAGGTTGTATTGAAACACCTTTGCCATATGTTGTATTGTTGTATTATCCTTTAATTCGTTGTATTGTTTCCTTTTTATTCAATAAAAAAAGCATTAAATAAAATGACTATTTATTAAAAACATTTGAGCATCAAAACAAATATTAATTAAAAAAAACCTTAATTTATTGCAAACAACACACAAAACAAACCATACATAAAAGCATAATAATAATAAAAAGCATAATTCCAAAAAACACCACAAAAAAAATAAAGCATAATTCAAAACAAAGCACTAATCTTGACTTCATCCATTGTGATTGCCTTTCATCTCCCACAAGTGCTCGATCAAGTCAACTTGACGTCTCTCGTGAACATAGGAAGATTGCATTTCTTGATAACGATCAATCATGGGGTTGTTGAATAGACCATCCTGAAGTAACGGTTCGGGCTCGATGGGTAGTCCATTTAGTCCCATCGGCCTTTCATATATTCTTGTCAACGCCATGTTCATGGGATCAGGTTCAAACACCTCTGGAGCATCGTAGTCATACTCATCCTCCACAATCATGTTGTGGAGGATGATGCAAGTCATCATAATACTTCGCAACACCTCCTCATCTAGCATCCGAGCAGCACCTCTAATAATTGCCCAACGAGCTTGCAAGATACCGAAACACCTCTCCACGTTTTTCCTGTAACCTTCTTGAAAGGAAGCAAAGTTTCTTTCCTTCTCGGATTGGGGATTCAGAATTGTTTTCACGAATGTCGCCACCTAGGATAAATTCTGTCGGCAAGGTAGTACGCACCAGAGTAAACGGATTGTTGATTTGGTACGTAACCTGGGGGGGAATGACCTCGCAATACCTCATCGAACACCGGGGATTGACCAAGGACATTGAGGTCATTCTGAGATCCGGCAACCCCGAAGAAGGCATGCCAAACCCAACAGTCGAATGAAGCTACGGCCTCCAAAATTATACTTTTTTGGCCCTTCCGATTC